CTCAAAAAACAATCCATAACTGTTGGATCAAAACTGGTATACTTCCATCTTCAGATAAAATTGAAACAGAATCAAATGATGATGATAATGATGAAGAAGAAATTATAGATCTTCTTGAGAACTTACCTGAAAAGGATGATATACAAGAATATTTTCAATTAATTAATTTTAATGTTTCTACTGAAGAAAATCTTACTGAAGAACAAATTACCAATTTAATACAATCTGAAGAAAATGAAGAAAGTGATAGTGATGAAGAAGAAGAAATATTATCAGTATTGGTTAAAGATGCAGTTAGTAGGTTGGAAACATTCATTAAATATTTTGAACAACAAGATAATAACTCTGAATTTAATGTTGATGATTTGCTAATTTTTAGAAAATATTTACGAATGTCTAAAGTAAAGCTCCTCATAGGCCGAGCTGAGCTGAACCTCATAAAACTCAGGCCGAGCTGAGCCCAAAAGTCTTAGACTCAGTTCGAGCCTGAGTTTATAAGTTAGGCTCGAGTCAAGCTGAGCATTACTTATATAGGCTCAGCTCAGCTCGAACCTCATAGTAGGCTCGCGAGCTTCATAATAGGCTCGCGAGCCTTATAGTAAACTCGCGAACTTTATATTAGGCTCATAAGTAACAGATAATTTTTTTTTTAAAAAAAATTATGTGGACTTTTATTTAAAACCCCAAAATTTTTAAGGCTCAAGCCTTGTGAGCCAGGCTTTAGTTAGACTTGGCTCGCGAGCCTATGAATCTATAATATCAGGCTCAGTTCGGCTTAGCTTGGATTGGCTCAGCTCACGAGCCTTAAGGCCTATGCAGAGCTTTAATCGTTACTTTAAAACTAATAACCTAAAAATAGAAGATGATTATGATCTATCTCAACCCACAACATGGATCTCATATATTGATACAAATAATCTTTATGGGTGGATCATGAGTAAAGCTCCTCATAGGCCTTAAGGCTCGTGAGCCTAGCGAGCCGAACTGATCTAAGCCAAGCCAAGCCTGATATTATAGGCTCATAGGCTCATGAGCTTTAAAAATTTTGGGGCTTTAAATAAAAGCCCATATAATTTTTTTTAAAAAAAAAATTATCTGTTGCTATTAAATAGCAACGGAAAAAATCAAATTAAAAAAGCGATCCGTCACTATTTAAAGCGACGGATCGCTAAAAAAAAAATTAAAATTTCGTGGCTTTATTTAAAAGCCACGAAATTATTTTTTT